GATAAGTTTATGATAAGTTAGAAGTTGGAGACAAGTTGTTGTTAAAGTTTATAGCCATCCCACTGAATGTCAATACTTGATTGAGCTTATCATTTTTGACTGAGCTCTAATTCAAGTATTTGCCCGTTAACTTTATTGCAAGTTTTTGGCTGAGCTTATTCAGAGAAATGGTTCTATGGAACTACATTTTTCAATTTCCTTGCAAGCATTGTGGAATTCATCAAGTGATTCTCATTTAACTGAGGTTTTTTCTTATCTACTTCAGTTTATTTGTAATAAGTTGAGGTTTTTTATATAAGCTTATATAAGCATCGGAGAGTAAATACGTCCTGTATAGTCTATTAAAGAACATAGTTTAGTTCCTATTCTTAGTTCTCTTATTCTTATTATACCCTCTAAATTCAACAACTAATTCTTCTAGCACCCTTGACTTGGGAGAATGAGAAATTTTTATTTTCAAAGAAAAGAGAGATAAAATGCGTGCAAAGAGACATCAAGTATATGAAAAAAGTGAAGAAAGTACCTCATATTCTTTCTTTCCAAATGCGGCTTTTGTCCCTACAATTTCAAAGAGGCCAATTACAACCTAGATTTCCTAAGGCTTGCATGCATGTGTTACAAAGACATAAATTGGCTTGATGCTGAAGAAGCTAGAATGGATAACCATTGTGCAAATTCAAAACCACATACGACCTTTCGTTAACACATAAAAGGTTTCTATGGCTTCCTTTGCATCTGATATTTGCTAGCTTCTTTAAATCAACAGAAGTTATAAAAGTGAAACCATAAAACATTTGTACTCATCTTCCTTTGCGTAGTTAAGATTTTATTCACATTTTTTGCTATGTCCCAAAATTTCAACCGTTTACATGATTAAACACCAAGACAAGAAAATTCTTGAAGCATTAGATGCAAAAAAGTCATCAACCTATGCAAACCTAGTGGTGCAGAACTAGCTCTTAACATGAAATAAATTTTCTATTAAAGAAATTTTATCTTTAAGTTATTTAGGTTAATTAGAATAATTCAGATATTATTATATTCTAGTTTTCTTTTAAGTAGACTTTACATTATAAGAATTAGAATATTTTAGATTTACTCGTTTATAATATCCCTTGTTAGTTATAACAAATATCTACGTAAAAGCTAGCAGCTACCAATAAAGAAAATGAACGATAATGAATTAAGAATTCCTTCGTTAGGATTTTACTCTTTCTTATATCTCTTTATGTTCATTTTTCTGATATTTGTCTAACTTTTCTTGGCTAATCTATTTCTCACTATATTTATTCACTTTGATCTCTAATTTTCTCTAGCCTATTTTTATTATCTTGTTTCTCACCTAAATTTCTACCATTTCTAAACCATCCAGGTATAAGTTAGTACAATTGCTCCTCGTCTGGTTTTAGTTAGTATTAGAGCCAACTTCCACGCCACCGTCAGCCACTTTTACACTACATACAAAAAAGAAAAAAAATGCGGTTCCCAGCTAAAAAAGAAATGTTTATGTTCTGAAAAAAAAAAATGAACTTTTATATTGTACCCTGTCAATTGCAAGCAAGAGGAAAAAAAAAACTCTCATGATAAAAAAACCCTAATTATAGTTCTGGGCTTTCCTTAAAAAACTAAAATCCAAAAGTCAAAAGATCACACCAACAACCTGTTATTATCAGCCTTAGCACAAACTGTCAGCAATCGCTGAGCAGTGGATGACACTGCCACCATAATAACAACCAGATAGCTCTGACCAGCCTAGATTAAATTCCAATCATTGATTCCATCTGTCACAAGTGACACTGACCACTGAGATAGAACCATCATGATGAGACAAATTTGTAACAGGAAGACCAACCTTCCCCAATGAACTAAAATCGGCAGTAGTACCTCACGTGCACATTGGTGATAGGAATTTTTAGTTGACTGGTTCACACATGTTTACTAGATTGATTGACCACTCCGATTCAGATCCTTGTGGATTGATTTTTCAACTGATTCGAACCAAGTCTTGAAGTTTTCCAATGTATTCTACCAGTTTCTTTGGATGTCTGGTTAGATTTGCACCTTACCATCATTATGAGCAATAAAGGTGGTAACTTGACATGGCATCCAAAAAACTTTTAGTGCAATTCATCATATAATCTATCCACATAGGATATGCTGTACCAAGTTTCTTGTCCCTATAGATGCATAAAGTACTACGATAAGTCAATAATTAATTACATTCAACATCATTGTATTGAATAAGTTGTCTTTGTTAAAAGTTCTCTCAATAATCGTGGCATATATGATAATTGCAGTCAACTAAAATAGACTTGTTAAGAAAGAATGAGATGTTCTGCAAGAATTAAAAACTGAGCTCCCGTGTATGAGTAGGCTTGACATTCATTGTGTTAGAAAATGAAAAACTTGAAAGGCTATAACACCACCAGTTGCTACTCAAGAAAATTGCTTTTGTTAAAGTTGTTTTCATTTATGCTAATGATGTTCAGCAACTTATTACTTTCCTTAATTTTTTTCCAACTCATGCTACTACTGAATTTTTTCTCGTTCATTATTACTATATTAAACATGTTTCTTGGGATGATTTCATTTTCCATTTATGTTTTATGATCCTAGGAAATTTATAATTTTGATTGAATTTAAGTTTTTATGTGAAGATCATCAACAGACTCGAGTTCTTGAAGATTTTGATGAACCTGTTCAAGCCTTTGTTAGCTTGATGCTCTGTCATTTCAAAACTCAAGGAAGAGTTTTAACTTGAGGTAGAATGATGTAGAACAAGAAGATCTTAGTTTGAAATGAATTTTCTATTGAAGTTATTTTTTCAATTATTATTATTATTTATTTTTAAGTTGGTCCATCGACATTCTTTAAAGTATCTAGATATCTTCAGCAAGGGAATCCTATTTCATCTCTACTGTTCCTTATGATGATGAAGGTATTTAGTACACTGATGGACCGGGCGGGGGAACTTAATTTGTTGTGGGGTATATCGATGGGGAAGGGGGATACAAGGGTGAGGGTCTCTCACTTATTTTTTGCTGATGACACCCTTGTTTTGTGTGAGCCTGATGTTAATGCGTTGTTGTATTTGAGATGTATTTTACTATACTTTCAAATGGTGTTGGGTCTGAAAATTAATTTGAGAAAGACGGAAATTGTTAGAATTGCATATACGGGGGATGAAAGGAGGTTGACACGGATGTTGGGTTGCAAGGTTACTCCTTTATCAGTTAAGGACCTTGAGATTCCGTTGGGAGCTAAATATAAAAATGTTAATACATGGAAGCCCGTGGATGACTTATTTGAAAGGAGGTTGGTGGGGTGAAACATCGCTTACCTTTCTAAAGGGGTTAGACTCACTTTGATCAAGAGTACCCTTGTAAACTTACCTATTTACTATCTTTCTATTTTAACTATTCCGGTTAGCATTGCAGAAAAAAATTGAGAAAATCTAATGTAGATTTCTATAGGGTGATGACGAGGGAGATAGAAAATATTACTTGGTGAACTGGGAAAAGGTGAAGAGGCCCATTAGGGAAGGGGGTCTTGGTCTAAATCTATTAAGAGATGAATACTGCACTCCCAGGTACATGGCTATCAAGGTTTTCCAT